CGTGTAGTAGATGAGCTTCCTGGCCGAGGGCAGCCCGTCCGGCAGGATCTCAAACTTCTTGCCCTGCGTGGGAGAGGGGGAACATCAGCCCCGGAGAGACAAATACTCTAATTCTCGCCCAGCCCTGTTGCAGCCCGCCTATTAACCCCCCAGCTTGCAGTCACCCCACTTGAGGTCTGTGCAACACCACCCCGTGCCCAAATCAAAGCCCGGGAGCGACATAGGGCAGAGATGCTCTGCCCTGGGGATGGCGGCACTGACCACGAACACCAGTTTCCCCACGTTTGTCCAGGGGAAGTCGTAGAGCAGCTGCTTTTCTTCATCCAAGTTCTGCAAAAAGAGGAGAGGCAGGCCCGGCTGAGGATGCCGGCAGGGGCTGCCCACGCCTGCCTGGCAGCGGGCAAGGAGCCGAGCCGTCGCCCTCGCTCAGCCGCCTACCTGGAAGATCTGGATGCCCCGCGTGGTCAGCCCCAGCGTCAGGGCGGCCTCCACCTCCCTTTTGTCCTAAGGGGGAAAAAAATTAGATGGTTTTAAATACACGATTTGCAGCATGAAGTGGATAAATCTGGCCCCTCGGCCCAGGTATCCTCCTCTAATCGCCCCGTCTCCCGTGCAGCAGCAACAGCCGCAGACAGTAGGTGCCACATTAATCATAGAATCATTTAGGTTGGAAAAGACCCTTAAGATCATCAAGTCCAACCGTTTAATTAATGATGCACACACACCGCCCGGTCGCACCCTCTAACACCCTCCCCAGCCTCACCTCCCAGGCACCTACCACCCCCCTCACCGCCCAGAAACACCCCAGCTTTAGGGTCTGGAAAAGCAGTTTAACCTCAGAAAACTTGGCAGGACCTTCAGAAACAGAGCTGGGGCACTTTTACGCTTGAGCCCAACCCGCTCCTGCACCGGCACAGAGCAGGTGACGGTGGGGCAGCCCACCCTGCCTGCAGCAGCGTGGGTGGCACTGGCCACGCACATGGCCACTGTCCCCCACGCACATCTCCCTGGGGGGCTGGAAACAAGGTTTTGTCGTTTTTTTTTTTACAGCCCTTTTTAACGATGTACCCCCTTGCCGTGCTCAGACACTCTCTGTATTTGCCATTCCCTGTGCTCTCCCGAAGGCAAACTTCTCTTTAACTTAAGGGTGCTACAAAATGGTTTGCGAAGCACCAGCTCCCAGCAAACAAATTGCTTTGTTCCCAGGAGAAAAACCCACCATATATTTCTTAGGGAGGGGATACCAAAAAATAAGATGCCAGAAACCTCACGGCTGCCTCCTCGCACCCTGGCAAACCTCTTGCCTCTCCATAGCTTGTAGAAAATGGCAGGACTATAAAAAGCTGCATCTCCCTGCCTCTGGGAGCGAAGCACTGCCCTCGAGACCGCTCTGCTCCAGCCAGGGAATGCCAGTTCAAACGCAGCTCTTCCCAAAATGCCTTAGAAATTGCTCGGCAGTTGCTCCTTTCAATAAAAAGCAGCCCTGAATCCAAAGCCCAGCCCGGGCTCACCTTGTACAACCTGTAGTAGTGCACAGCCACGTCATCCAGCCGGACGGCCTCCTTGATGTACTTGAGATGGGCTTCGGAGGCCGTCAGGGCAAACTGATCTTTGTGCATGTTTGGGACGTGCTTCAGGATGTAGTCCTTGCCCCTCTTCGCAACCACCTGTTTGGAGGAGAAAAGAAACTCGTCCGGGGGAGCCGCTCCGTGCTCGCTCGGGGCCGGCCGCCAGCCCCGGCGCTCCCGGGTAGAGGCGATTTCCAGGGAAGAGGGAAATTGGAGCAATACGCTCCATTATAGAGACCTGCAAGCGAAAATAAAATAGATAGCAGCAGCCAACAACTTCTCGCCAGCAGGATTTCCCCCTGGGAAGTGGACGTTTGCTCCGCGTGCCCGTCCCACGGAGCTCACACCACCGGGTGACACCCATGCCGGGGCAGGGAGAGCCACGCACAGGGTCCCTGCAGGGCTGGGGACGCGGCCCCGGGGCCATCGCTCCTCAGCGACACGTACAATGAAAAGGGAAGCTGGTAGATTTGGGGCAAAACCCAGAAAGCACACGAAGTGGGCAACGGTGCCTACATCTTTTATTAATCTTCCCAGCATCCACTGGCAGCCGTGGCCACGGGGAACCACGGGGGAGGTTCAGCCGTTCGGGGTCCAAGGGCACATCACACGCAGCCGTGCAGCCCCTCGCCGCTCCTCTCTAACTGATAATTTACCTGTCTGGTAATAAATGGACTTGTTTTTGGGTACCCCGCAGAGGCTGGCCGCCAGGCCCTCGCTGCGGGGAGGAGGGTCCCGGCCGAAGGGGGTCCCGGCCGGGAGCTGCCTGTGCCACTGCCGCGCCATCCGGGCCCGTTCCCTACCCCGCTCACCGGCAAA